AACGGTCATAATATTTTAAAACAAGTAGGTCGCTAAATTAAATAACAGACCTGTTACTATTTATCGTCAGAGAACACTAACTTGGGCTCAAATCCAACTCAGTTCCATTTTAAGTCCAAATAGTGCGACATAATAATGAAATTTGTTGTAGGGGAGCAATGCCCCTATTACGCTCCACACCCTGCCCACGCCCTTGGGCCATACCATGTACAAGTACTCAATAAATTTGTTTAATTTGTAATTAAATTGGCTTATTTGTACATAAACAATACCGGTTATCAAATTCGGATATTCTAGACGTAATTTTGAAATTAAAATATTTATTAAGTGAGGTAACATTTGTTACTTTGTAAATACTGCGTATTTCCGGGCATCCTTATTGCCTCATTTTTGTAAAATGCAACATTTTTTCGACAACAATGTTATAGTTGGATGTGCATAATTATCGCAACCCAAAAATAATTTTCATTGTATTTTATGAAAAAAATTATTTTAGTGCTTGCTTTTGTAAATAAAATATTAGAGCTTAATTTAAGAATATCTACGAAATTGAAAAGCAAGTCAGCTATTTTGAAGAGAACTTGGCTCTCTAGCTCCATATGCTTGAAATACTTTAGTTTGTTTATATTTGAAAAAGTTCCTTATAAATGCCTGACTAATTATAATGATCTGCACCTTCGGATGTTGCTCACTGGCACGACTGAAGAGGAGTGCGGAACATATTGCACGCAAAAGCAATTTCTACTTTAAATATGTCCTTTATCGGGTTGCAGTGTTTTCAAACTCACGTACTATTTGGCGTGTTATGATCGTATTTACGAATTGTGGCCGGCATTCCATTGTCTGCTTGCCCAACATTGCTGAAGTCCACATAAGACCCTAATTAAACATTAAATTTGTTCACGGTTGGAATGACCGTCTCCCATAGAAAGCCTAGGGTGTAAACATAGGTTTTGGCCGACCACCAAGTTGTAGGGAGAATAACAGCAATTACGAGTTATATACATGGATAGGTATGTGTGTACAATATACATATGCACATTTGAAGAGATATTAAAAAAATCATAAAACCAAACCGAGTGCAGTCTATTTATCGCGATTTAGAAATCATCCGAGGTAGCTCTAGAAACATTAAGCCAATGGTTGTTTGCAACGCAAGCACTAAGAAGCGCCTCGTGCTTTGTTTTCCATAAAAGGCACGTGCAAGTCTCAATTTTAAATTTTCCTAGGAATCTTTAATAAGCAATGGCAAGTAAGTCAGTCTACGGTGAAAACTAAAGTACGTCTTTAGTAAGGCGCAATAAATTACTCTCATTTCCACATAAAAATTTGTTTCGCCAGACATACATACTCGTAGCCAGTTCTTTAATTCCTAGAATCAAACATCGTACGTACAATACTTATGCATGTATGTATAAAGTGCTATGTACTGTACAGCAGACAATAACTGAAGCCGGGACAATTAAAACATATTATTTTTTTTTGATTTTGTGTGGATAGGCCACTCGAAGCTCTGCCTGCAATTTAATAATCAACGCACGCGACATTTATTCAACGGCTCGCGTTCTCTTTCACTCGTAGATTTTGAGGATTCTTAACAAGTTCATTGCACGTGCTGCGCAATCTACGAATAAAAACCTCGTACGCAGTCCACCACATAAATCAAAAATAATTTATATGAGAGCAACGTCTCCGGTGTCCATCATCTAAGATATGTTATTCATTTATACCCTGTACCCAAAGGGTATAAGGGTATACTAGTTTATCGCTTACGTATGTATCAGTCAGAAGCAGATATATTCTTCATCAGCTCGACGAGACGAGTCGCAAAAGCCGTGTAAGTCTGTCTGTATGAACGAAAGGACCACGCACACTGTAAGAGCTGAGCAAACTTGGTACTCGTATTCCTCCATATCACGACTATTCTTCATTTTTTATATTTTATTTACTTATGTATTGAAATAAAATTATTTTAAGAATATTATTAAAGTCTTTATTGTTGGTGGGAGTGGTTTCAGTTAGACTCTCTCGACTCTAGATTTAAATTCTTGTTTTTAAAAAGTTCTATTTCGATCTCTGCACCTACAGGGTGGTCTATATTGTGTCTTTTTTTAAATTATATCGTGTTATCAACCGTCTAGTCGATGTCAATTTACGATTTGACGTTGTTCGAAGAAGGACCGATTTTATGCGATTAATCCATCAATTATTCAGGCCCTTAAATCGATTACCGAGCAGGGCATTCGTGAAGTAGAGCCAGATATGGCTACCAAATTTCAGTTCAAAATTCCAAGAATTACAGGAGTTATAGAAAATCGTGAATGGGGGGGAGTGGGGGGTGCATTAGAAAAAATGAACAAACTCGTCCTTTCTCGGGGACAGGAGAATCTGGATACCAAGTTTGGTTATTCTAGCTCTTATACTTTCTGAGATCCTTGTGTTTATACGGATAGACAGACAGACAGACGGACAGACGCACATGGCTATATCGACTCGGATTGTCATCCTGATCAAGAATATATATACTTTTTGGGGTCTACCACGCCTCCTTCTGTGTGTTACATGAACACTCGCACAAAATAATATACCCTTTTACCCCAGGGTATAAAAATCATTCTTATAGCAGATATATCAAATACATAGTGTACAGATATTTTATAAAACTATAGTCACAATATTAAAAACTCTGCTCACCTCGACATATTCTACATAACAGAGGGGAAACCATACCTAGATGTAGACCTAACGTTTGTTATCCTTACAGAGGAATATTTTTCGTTGAAATAGGAATGTTCTAATGTCTCATGTTTTAATAACAGATAATACAGATAAAAGATGGAGAAACCAAGCTTTGTTATTATTATTTTAGGTTGCCGGCATGGGACAGTTACATTGGTGCAAATATCAAATTTATTTATTATTTTAATGAGTGAATTTTTTCGTTTTATCCGACAGTTTTCTGAGAAATAGAAATACTTTCATTTCAGTTTTCTTTACATAACTGGCTTGCAAACATATAGGCTTGTGTCCATTTCTATAACAGTCTGCAGACTGTCCTGCGTATGATGGAGCTGGCATTCAAAGACAAGCCCAGTAGATCTGGCTGGCTCGCTTCTATTTTTCTGGCTACGCACGCTTACAATCGTAGATAAACACACAGGCATGTAGACATGTAGACAGGCAGGCGCATACTCGTACGTGGAAAATAGTAAAATGGAAACAAGTTTAACAAGTTTCCGACACCTTCACACCCAGCACAGAAAAACAATGGCAATGTGCCTGCCCGCCTTCCAATGGGAGTGAAATCGGGCCAGACCTCCGACTCGGTCCCAGCTTCGGAACTAACTTAGTTACTGTCGGAGTCAGAGTCAGAAACGCCCGAGTGCGCTTCCGCTCTCTTTGTCACCTCAAGAGCCTCCTCTGCCCACTCTGGCCATATTTATGTGATGACTTTGTAGATTTGCGACTGCGAAGGACAAGAGATGACTTTGCCGAGCGGCGTGCCACATGTGGGTGGTGTTTTTTATTAATGAAAAAGTTCTTATGAATAATAAATGCATTAGTAAAACTCAGAAGAACTTTGAAATGTGCAAACAAAAGTTTTGTAGGTGAACGATACGTGTGGGCAAGAAATGTGGCCAAATGTAGCCGTAGGTTTATTTCACAGGCGGGCATTTATAAATAATACATTTTTCCTTAATATGGCATGGTAAGGTTGTGGGTCTCTGGTTAGCTTCGCTAAAAAAGTACGTGTACTTGTATATACAAAACTCAATTTCTTTTCGATCGTATTTGATGGGTATGTTGATGCACTTTCAGTTTGCCCCTAAAAATAGCGCGGGATGCACTTGAAAGGCTATTGAATCCGTCTGTTTTGTGTACATTTCAGTCGCGGCCGCTCGAGTCACGCCCCGATCCATGTTAAACAATGTTTAACAATTAAGCATATTTTTGGCATTGTCGAAACTCCAGGTCAGGCTAAAACGCTCGTAGCTGCAGCTGCAATGCATCTGACGGATGCACGCGCAATGTTCAGGCTGGTGAAGTGAGTGTAAACAACAAACGTTAAAAACCACGAGCGTAAAAAAGCAATTAAGCGTGATGCAAAGAACGCTCAATGAGCGAGAGAGTTGAGCGCAAAAAGTGGGCTTGGAGCTCAGAATCGGGAAAAACTGACATTTAACACAAATGTATAGTTTATAATAAAAATATAGAATATATAGAACAATCTTTCTTGGCATTAGTGACAAACCGTTTTGAAGGCATCTATTAATTTGGTCATAATTTAAGATGTGTATTTCATAAATTACTCGTACATTTTCGAGTGTAAATATAAATACAAATTTCTCTCTGCCTCTCTGGAACATTAGCGCCAATTCATACCGTAGCGGCGAAAAGTGTCAACTATGAATGAGAGTGAGCGCTTCATCGTTTTCATACCATGCCTTGGCGCATGCCCTGTTCTCAACGATGCTCTCTCTCAATCACTCATTCGTTATTGTATCGCACATATACTTTTCGTCAGCCAGCCGCTTGGCTGTTTGACTTTCGTGCAAACAGTTTGAGTGCGAGCGCCGTACGCTTCGGACGTGTGGGGCACGCGCAATATTTTAAAATCGAGAAACGCATTTTTCCAAAAAACAGTATAAAAAAGTATTCAAGAGTGAAAACACAAAAGAAAAATCCAATTACCCTCTACAGTCTATAGCAATAAAAATCGCGCTTCGGTTAAACACCAATAATATTCAAAAGAAATAAAAAATTCACACAAGCAAAATACGAATGGGCTGTCCACGGCGACACGCTCCAAAGTGTAACCAGTGCAAAAGTTGTTGACGCAAGTGTTCAAAACGTTCTTGCCGTGAAATGTGCCTAACAAAATTGAGAAAAATCAAGGTATAAAATGTCAATTCCATGTACATAAAAGTGTGCCCTCAATCCAAACAATCCACAACACAAGCGAAGTGAGATCCATGCGCATCCCAAATAAACAACCGACTATGCTAAAGCTGAAAACCCCGTCGCTCCCTCAGCGGCGGACAGTTTCGGTAAATAGCAGCACAATTATGTTGCTACTGCCCATGGTGCTGGAGCTGGCGCTGGCGCTGGTCACGCCATCTGTCCACGCCGCAGTGGTGGCAAAGGATAGCGCAGCCAGCGCCATGCTCGGAAGCGGCGCTGGCGCCGCCACGGTTTCACTAAAACGCGACTATTCTGCGCTGCTATCGGGCACAGCAACTGTCTCCTCCTCATCATCATCGTTATCTGCGTCGTCGTCGCCCGCGCCTACGCACAGCAATCAATGTTCCTGGGTGTATAACGGCACCTCCTCGGTGCATTGTGCACTGCGACTGATGGAGCGAACGACAGCGCTAGATCTTCAGGGCGCAGATGGCAGTAGCCAACTGACTATTAAATGCAGCGATCTCTATCTCTTCGAGTCCTCGCTTCCGCAGGCCGTGTTTGCTCGCCTGCAAACGTTGGATACACTGCACATAGAGTCCTGTAAACTGCTCCAGCTGCCCAATAATGCCTTCGAAGGTCTGAGTACCTTAAAAACGTTGGTCTTAAGCACGCGCAATGCCGAGTGGGGACCCGCAAAGGCGCTTGAACTATACCCCGACTCTCTAAATGGTCTCAAGCAATTGACGGAGCTAAATCTTAGTGAAAACAATTTAAGAGCGCTTCCTGCAGGGTTTCTCTGTCCCGTTGGAAACTTGCAGACCTTGAATCTCACGCACAATCGCATACGCACTGCCGAGCAGTTGGGATTTGCCAATATGAACTGCAATGGTGGCAGCGAGCTGCAACTATTAGACGCCAGCTACAACGAGCTGCGGTCCATCACCGAAAGCTGGGGCATTTCTCGGCTTAGACGACTGCAGCATTTGAATTTGCAGCACAATAACATCTCAGAGCTTTCGGGTGAAGCGCTTGCAGGCCTAGCCTCGTTGCGCATTGTGAACCTCAGCAATAATCATTTGGAGACGCTGCCAGAGGGCCTGTTTGCTGGATCCAAAGAGCTGCGAGAGATTCACCTGCAGCACAATGAGCTGTACGAGCTACCCCGTGGGCTTTTTCATCGATTGGAGCAACTGTTGGTAGTGGACTTGTCGGGTAACCAGCTGACTAGTAACCATGTGGATAACACAACCTTTGCCGGTCTCATCCGTCTGATAGTACTGAATCTGGCTCACAATGCCTTGACCCGCATTGACTATCGAACTTTTAAAGAGCTCTATTTTCTGCAAATTCTCAATCTGCGCAACAACTCTATCGGGCACATTGAGGATAATGCCTTTCTGCCACTCTATAACCTACACACCTTGAATCTGGCCGAAAATCGCCTGCATACACTGGATGACAAGCTATTCAATGGATTATATGTGTTGTCAAAGCTCACGCTGAACAACAACTTAATTAGCGTGGTGGAGCCGGCGGTGTTCAAGAACTGCTCGGACCTGAAAGAGCTTGATCTTAGCTCCAATCAGCTTAATGAAGTACCGCGCGCCTTACAAGACTTAGCCATGTTGCGCACACTGGACTTGGGTGAGAACCAAATTCGCACATTCGACAACCAGAGCTTTAAAAACCTTCATCAGCTGACTGGATTGCGCTTGATTGACAATCAGATTGGGAACATTACTGTGGGCATGTTTGCAGACTTGCCTCGCTTGAGCGTCCTGAACATGGCCAAAAATCGTATACAAAGCATCGAACGCGGAGCTTTTGACAAAAACTTTGAATTGGAGGCTATACGCTTGGACCGGAACTTCCTGTCGGACATTAATGGTGTTTTTGCCACGCTTGTTTCACTGCTCTGGCTGAACCTCTCTGAGAATCATTTGGTTTGGTTCGATTATGCCTTTATTCCCTCCAACCTTAAGTGGCTGGACATACATGGAAATTATATTGAAGCTCTGGGCAACTACTATAAGCTGCAGGAGGAGATACGTGTCAAGACGCTGGATGCTAGTCATAATCGAATTACGGAAATCGGTCCCATGTCCATACCCAACACTATTGAGCTGCTCTTCATAAACAACAACCTGATTGGTAATGTTCATCCCAACGCTTTTGTGGACAAGACGAACTTGGCGCGAGTCGACCTTTATGCCAATCAGCTGTCTAAGTTGCAGCTGCAGCAGCTCCGTGTGGCTCCCGTTGCCGCCGAAAAGCAGCTTCCGGAGTTCTATCTGGGTGGCAATCCATTTGAGTGCGACTGTACAATGGACTGGTTGCAACGCATTAATAATCTTACGACGCGCCAGCATCCAAGAGTAATGGACATACCAAACATAGAATGCGTGATGCCTCATGCCCGTGGGGCTGCAGTACGCGCTTTAAGCACTCTGCGCCCTCAAGACTTTCTCTGCCGCTACGAGTCGCATTGCTTTGCACTTTGTCATTGCTGTGACTTCGATGCCTGTGATTGCGAGATGACTTGCCCTCAAAACTGTACCTGCTACCACGACCAGATCTGGTCCACCAACGTGGTTGACTGTGGCGGTCAGCAGACGATGGAGCTGCCTCGCCGAGTACCTATGGATTCGAGTATCGTCTATTTGGATGGCAACAACTTTCCTGTGCTAAAAAATCATGCTTTCATCGGACGCAAGAACCTAAAAGCTCTCTACGTGAACGGCAGCCAAGTGGCTTCTATCCAGAATCGTACATTCGCTAGCCTTACATCACTGCAACTCCTTCATCTTGCTGACAATCACCTGCAATCTTTGCATGGCTATGAATTTGAACAGCTTGGGTCTCTGCGTGAGCTTTACCTGCAAAATAACCTCATGACTACTATCGAGAATGCCACATTGGCACCTCTACATTCTCTGGAGCTTCTGCGCATTGATGGCAACCGGTTAGTAACGCTACCGATCGGGCAGCTGCATGCCACCCATTTCGGTCGTCACTTGCGATCCATTTCCCTGGGCCGCAATCAGTGGAGCTGTCGCTGCCAGTTTCTGCAGGCGCTGACATCGTATGTGGCCGACAATGCTCTCATTGTGCAAGACGCCCAGGATATATACTGCATGGATACACCTAATATGGCTTTTGGAGCGGATAGTGCAGCGGATGGTGTCTCATCTTCACCTCAAAAGCGCGAGCTGGACTTTAATTCTACGGGCGCTGCCTGCACTGACTATTATGCCGGTGGGTCCATGCTACAACATGGTATTCCCGAGACCTATATCCCACTGCTAGCTGCTGCGTTAGCGCTTGTGTTTTTACTAGTTGTGGTCATCATAGTCTTCATCTTCAGGGAGTCCCTGCGTATCTGGCTCTTTGCTCACTACGGCGTTCGAGTATTTGGTCCGCGCTGTGAAGAGTCCGAGAAGCTCTACGATGCCGTGCTGTTGCATTCGGCCAAGGACGCGGAATTCGTGTGCCAGCACTTAGCTGCGGAGCTGGAAGCCGGACGACCCCCCTTGCGGGTTTGCTTACAACATCGCGATCTATCTCACGATGCTACTCATTATCAGCTCCTGGAAGCAACGCGGGTCTCACGTAAGATAATACTTGTGCTCACGCGAAACTTCCTGCAGACTGAGTGGGCTCGCTGTGAACTGCGACGAGCCGTTCACGATGCTCTACGTGGCAGACCCCAAAAACTGGTCATTGTTGAGGAGGCGGAGGTCGCATTCGAGGCGGAGAGTGACATCGAACTACTGCCATATCTGAAGACATCGGCAGTACATCGTATTCGGCGCACCGATCGCCATTTTTGGGAAAAACTGCGCTATGCCATACCTGTCGACTATCCTACATACCGAGGCAACAACTACACACTAGACCATAACCACGAACGTATTAAGCAGCCAGCTAGCCCAGGGCTACTTTACCGCCAAGCACCACCGCCTGCCTACTGTACCGCCGAGGAAGGTGCAGAAGCGGTATCGGTAGCGGCAGCCGCTGTGGTTTCCCCGGCAGTAGTCGAGGGTGAGCAAAACTACTCCTCGGCCACAACAGCCACACCAAGCCCGAGGCCACAGCGTCGCGGTGAGCAACATCATGGTCACCTCTCTAGTGGCACTTTGCATCCCCAGCGAAGTGGAGCCGGAAGTGGAGCTGGTGAGGTGGTGCAGTATTACCAGCAGCATCATGGCGGCTCTATGCGTCCTCCTTCGGAGCACATTTATTCCAGCATTGACTCCGACTACTCGACTCTGGACAATGAGCAGCACATGCTCATGATGCCAGTCGCCGGATTGCCTCACCAGCACCACCAACAGCAGACTCAGCAACGCCCCCAGACGTGGCGACCTCAGCCGAAGCAGCAACAGTCTCCTTCTCAGCTCTCGCATGCGGCTACATTGCAGCATCAGTCTCAGCAGCAGCAACAACAGCAACAACAGCCTCTCGCTGCAGCAGCTCAACAGCAAGGACCGCATGTCCAGGCCTATCTAGTGTAAGTGTAACAGGGGGGTTCATGGGGTAATGTGTCGAGTGCCGAGTGCCGGACGTTGAGTGACGCGTTGACAGTGATTTCTTTAGGGACTGGTTCCTGTTTCATACTGAAACAAAAGTGCATAATTTTAATTACTACAGCATATGTATGAGGTTAAATTAAAAGTGGAGGATAAACGAGAAACGCAGTCAAGTCCGAAATATGAAACACAGCAACAGGAATGAAAAAATATGCGCCATTTCCGTTTAGTGACACTTTTTGCGTGTTTGTGACTGTCCGTTTCCAGCGTATTTATTTGCTCATGAAGAGCATGCTATCTGGAAATTTTTGAATATGTCCGAGTACTTCCAGAACTGGAACATTTCTAAACTATTTTAATCTCATCAAGGACTCCCAAATTTGCATTTCAGACTTGGCTACAGTTCTGTGTTCTTATCCTAAGGTGTATCCTCTAGCCGTTATTTTGTATGAGCCATTGTAAATAGCTGCATTATTCATACACTCAAATAAGAAATACTTAAATACTAAAAATAGAGCCACATATGCCGCATATGCAATATTTCTGAACACACTTGTAATTTAAACACACGCCGTATACCGTACATACACGAATGATAAAAGTACTATATAATGTTATGTAAAAAGAATTAGCTAGCAAACATGAAATATGTAATTAAACAAGGTATTGTATGCCTATACGAGTACACTCGAATGTCTATGCAAAGGCAGTTAAAGCTCATTTTAAACACTTACGCTTACCAAAATATTGTAATAATATTTATGTATGTACGAACTAGTAGAGGAAGGAAAAAGATTGCATGTTCTTGAGAACTACAAAGCGTATACACAACATAAGTATAGTATGTGACTGTAAAACTGATATGTATTTAAACCTACAAAAACCAAACATAAGCATATACAACACGGAGCTAAATTTTATACACCTACGATATATACTATATGGTATACAATATAGAGTAAATTACTAACAATAAGCAAATGCAAAGTTGGATAAAAAGCTGCCTATAGCAAGACGATAGCAACACTCAAAGCATTTATTTAATCTAACTTTGATCATATAGTACACGTATGTATGCAAATGAATGACAAACATACTCGTATGTTCATCCAGACAGAACAGAATGTAAGCATTTTAAAAATGAAGGAGAAACAATTAGCTCACAAACTCGTCATACACTAAGATATCGAGAAACTCAAAATTCGAACACGTAAAACCCATTTGAGGCACATGTGTACCAGTATAAAAAGCCCAAAACTGTTATTTATTTTTATTTTGTAATATACGACGATAGCTTAAGTTTTATTTTATAAACTTCGCTCTACTGAAATTCAATTTTGTGAATAATAACTATAATTATTTATAAACCAATACTGATACTACATACTAATGTATTGTACTTGTATATGTAATGATAAAGAGATATTTTTCTGTTTCGCAAGCGAACAAATGCAAATGAAATGAACAACTTTTTTAAAACAACGAAACCCATGTGTTATAGTATTGTCGCCGATTGGTAATGTGGTTTGGACCATTTCACAACGATTTACAGCTGTCTTCTTGCCAATTTAATTCATCATGCACATGAGTTGCTATTTTGTAACTCCCTCACGCACTCCGAGGTTTCGCTTTGACAATAAAAGGGGCACGCCGGGTGCCAGCGGGACGGCCTGTCAAAGTCAACTGAACAATCCTAGCTCACATTTACATACATATGCATATGTATACATATATACAAGCCGACAAAGTGATAAATCATTTTTTGTGCTTGTTAGTGAATATATTGCTGTATATATTTAAGCGTCCGACAAGTATTTGCCGGCCTGCTTGCAAGAGCGACTACGCGTATACATATGTACCAGTATATCTGAACTGAAGGGCAGTCGGTGCTTAAACCCATATTGATGCTCTAGTGGATGTGGATGTGTATGTGGCTGTGTGTGTAAGTGCAGAGCAAGGCTGCGACTCTGAGGGTAGTACTTGTAGTCATGAAGCGCTATGACAGCTGAACGCTTTTGCCAAGCTTACGTATACTCGTATGCCTTGCCTCCGCTCGGCTCGACTCGACTCGACTTGGCTCGACATGGCTCGACATGGCCCGACTCGGCTCAGCTCGAGTACCCGCCAAAGTGCGCTGTGATGTGTTATGGCGCCTAGCTTTGCGTATATGTATCTAAGTATAAAGTGCCGCTAGCCATCAAATACATTAGACACGAAGGTAAGTGTTCAAGCTCAAGAGATTCCCAACGTCATGAATATTGTCATGGCAGGAATGCACTCGTGTTTAGCGAGAGAACTGTTATGAAAATTACAAAGGGGATACATCGTTGTGGGCTTGATAAATACAATCGCCTCTATATCGCATCATATCTGAATAAATAGCCTCGGAGAGCTGGGATACAACAAACTGTTTAAAAACCACACCCTTACCTTACTTTCTTTCGAAGAACACAAATGTTACATGTTTAGACAGCCTTAGATCTTATAGTATCAAAAGAATCCAAGGCACGGCTTTCTAAATATAACTAAATATATATAGAATATGCTAGGAAGTTATTATACCCTGTACCCGTAGGGTAAAAAGGGTACATTAGGTTTGTGCAAAGTATATAACCCCGACCCCATAAAGTATATTTATTCTGGATCAGCATGACGAGAGAAATCGATCTAGATATGTCCGCCCGTCCGTTTGTCCGTCTGTCTGGATGAACGCAAGGATCGCAAAGTTGGTATCCAGATTCCTCTAGGTCCGAGAAAGGACGAGTTTATTTCACTTTCTTCGCTTCTGCTAGAGGAGCATGTACCTCAGTGTCGGAAGTTTACCTGGGTACAGGGTATTTCACTGTCAGGCTTGCTCGACTGTAGCGACTCTTGTCTTAGTCTACGTTATAGGCATCTAGGTATAAAGTAAATTCTGTGCAAAATCAAGAAAAAAAAAACTGTATATCTATGTTACTATATTTGTATCTAAGTGTTAGAAACATACGACAGGTACTTTGTGTGCCTACTGAAGTCTTAAAAATAGTATTGCTGCATTTTAACCGGCGATATTTAAAGCTGTGTATTAGTGTATCTCACATCCAAAATATTCCCGAAAGTAGTATCAACTGCACTAGCATTTTAATTCCCATACCCTCCTGAAGGGTAATAAGGTATATTAGTTACTATTATCAGCTAATATCTGAAAATTTGTTTAAATATTCCGGTATTTAGCCGTTCACATCTGTTTTTTCCCAGAAGCGTTGATTATTTTGGCCTTCAAGGCAGGTGACAGTCGTATGTCTGTTTGATTTCGGCACAGCACCAGTGAACTTTTCACCTTTATGTCGTTTTGCTTTCAAATAAGAGATCTATAAACTGCAGACTATACATATACACGTATGCTGTATTTATGTATATCCTGTATTTTTAGTATGTACATTCCCATTTGCAGTCAGTCGAATATACAGACGTGTGGGTTTCTTTTTCGATTTTTCGACGCACATATTTATTCGCCTATATTTCGTGTGTTGACAGAATCGTGACGAAAAGCGTTTTTCAACTTGTGCATGCTCACACACACATACATAATCTCTTAGGCGACACTCGTATGTATGTAAGCTCACACATAAGGACACATAAAAACTGGCCAACAAGGCTGTTTGTGTGTATCTGACACAAAGTATCAACAAAAATAATGACAAATCCTTATGCAAAGTGAGCGTTGACTGCCCCAATTGAATGCTTAGAACATACACATCTACTTGTATTGCTTTTCGGCGTCCAGTGCAAATATTTTGGGAACCTTTTTTATTACATTTAAATAATTTGATTGCAACAAATGGAAGGACAGACGAACGGTCGATCTCTCGGTCGGGCCTTCAAACACGAGTATTTCTGCTCCAATCGACTTCTACTTGTATACTAAACGCCACCATTTTCAATTCAATTTAATTTACTTGCCCACACAAGTAAAATGTAGGAGTATGTGTGTATGTGCGTGGCTTCCTTTTTTATTTAATTTTTCTTGCCCCAAGTTTCATTTCTTGCACCATAAAAATTTATTATCATAATAAGTAAGCGGGCCGGGGCAACTTTTTTGCACCCCACATGTGAACGCCAGCCTCTGCATGAGTCTGTAAGTATATAGTATGTATGTATGTACATACATACATATATGTGTGAATGCACGTGCGTCTACATATACATACATACGTGTAAGTATGTATACACCCTCAACGTTTTTATGAATGTTTTTGTTGTGCTTTTGTTTCTGTTTTGATGGAAATTCGATATTTGCAACACGTATAGAATTTTGATCAGTTGACTAGAGCGCAAGTGCGAAAATAAATGTTTTTGCACTCCAGCTCGCTTTTTTGTTGTTTTTTTTATATCCATGATATAAAACATAGAATGCAAGTGCCAACTAATTTTGCCTCATGTGAGCTCAATATTGATTTCATTCTTGCCCTAGAAAACTGACGTGACTCTGGAGTTTCTGCCCCGCAACCACGAAGCAGATGCGTATCTGCAAACAATTAAGAAATTCTAAAATGAATTTTCGAAAATTCGTTCACCAACATATACATACTACATATATGTACATACTACTATATATGTACATACTACTATATATGTACATACTACTATGATATGTACATGCACATGTACGAGTATGTATAACGTACGAGGAACACGGGGTTTTCCCGCACATCGACCCAATCTCACAAACATTTCCACATGCCAGATGTTTGGCTGTTAACCATTATACCCAACACAGTAACTCGTGTCTGCTGCCATTTGTATCTTGATACGTACTCGTATTTGAATTCTAGTTGCTCTAAAAACAAAGCTGGCGGGGTAGCATGACCATATATGGGAGTTTTTCTTTGTTGGTTTTGCAATTCTATTAGTTACAACTTGTAGTGCGGAGTGAATTAAAAAAGTTTGTTTGGGTATTTATCGTGCTATGTTCGGAGAGGGGCAAGGGCGAAGGTATTGTCCCAAATTTCAATTTAAGGCATATGGGCGATATTTTCTAGTGCTCGTTAATTGTGGAAGTGAAGAAAAATACACCCATAATAAAAAAAAGAATACTCTTCACAGTTCTATTTAAAGTGTGCTTTTCAGGAAACACAACCAATTTTCATTTTATTTAAAAACGTATTAAATACTTTGCAAACGTTTCACAAGGCTTTCACTGGGGAACACTAACAAATAGTCGGCTATCGAACTGTTTCAAAACGCAAGATATACAAAATGTTTTAAGCAGACAATGTGAAATTCCGCTGGGTATCGAAGGCAGAATAAAACAAGAGGAAAAGATATAGTTTGATTGCCCCGACTTTGAAATACTCTATACCTATGTGTACAAAAAGTAGGTAAAAAATTGCAATCTGTATGTTAGTATTGAAATTCACTTGCGTTATTTTTATACTCAGTACATGAAATATACAGAAGTATATTAGGTTTGCGGGAGCTGAAAAATTTAACAGGCAGAAGAAGGCGTGGCAGACCCCACAAAGTACATATATTCTTCATCAGCATGACGAGACGAGTCGAACTAACCATGTCTGTCTGTCTGTCCGTCTGTCCGTCCGTATGAACACCTGGATCTCAGAGACTTTAAGAGATAGAGACACCAAATTTTCCACAAAGATGCCTTATGTGTGTATTCTATACGAGTTTGTGTTATTTTTTTGATTTTCCCCCCACTTCCCCCTATGGGGGTTTTCCCTATTTTCCATTCGTATAATCGCCTATATCTCGGAGACTATAAGACCTAGGAACACTCCCCCCTCTACCCCGCAAATCGTACCTCCCGTAAATCTTGGAATTTCGAACTAAAATTTTGGAAATACCCCCCGTTAGTTATTATGTGTCCGTATGCCAAGTTTCACTATGATAGACCGATTTAACAAGAAGTTATAGCCATAAATATATTGGCTGCTGCAGCGCTGCTCAAGCGCTGCCCAAACGCTGCCCGCGGCTGTTGCTGATGTTGCTGTTTGGTTGACTGCTAACATGTTTACACACACACGAATAGATGCGCATAGGCATAGATACACTCACACAGACGCAATTGCTATGTAAATGTGCAATTATAAACCCTTTACGTGAGTTCGAATACCGAGAAAGGTAAAATCGATCAAAATTTTTTTTTTATAGCCTGTACCCAAAGGGTGAAAGGCTATACTAGTTTTGTGCGCATGTATGTAACACACAGAAGGAGGCGTGGCAGACCCCACAAAGTATATATATTCTTGATCAGGATGAGAAGCCGAGTCGATATAGCCTTGTCCGTCCGTCCGTCTGTCCGTCTGTCTGTCCGTCTGTCC